CACACACACACACACACACACACACACACGATTAAGGTTATTGTGACTGCTCGTTCATACAAGGAAAAAAACAGAGCATATTTTTCTCTAATTTAAGATTTAAAAAAACTAAAGTAAAAAAATGCAATGTTGACGCACAACCCCCCCCCCCCAAACAAACAAAAAACCCACAACGTGCGACTCACATGTGCACGGCGTGGCTGCGTGGATAGCAGTGGTCGTGACAATCGCCGTCGCGGTCTGAGGACGTTCTGCGGCTGAGGACGTGAAGCGGGACGTAGCCCGGCGTGGGTCCAAACACCACCAACGGGCCTTGGCCCAGAGGGGGTCGCTCGCCGCGGTAACAGAAGGCACACTGCTGTAGGCTAACGGGACGACACGAGAGCCGTGAAGCCCACCGCTTCGCGTGGAAACGCGCGCAGGAGCGCACGCGTGGGCCCACACTCACCGTCTTTCGGTGAGTCCCAGGCTGGGCGTGGGTGAGCCGGAGTCTTCCGACATGGAGCGTCGTAAAAGCGGCGACGGCACGTCGTCGTCCTCCGGGCGCAGGTGGGGCGACTGCGAGGGGCTGGAGGCCAGACTGGCTCCGCCCATGTCGGCACTCCGGCAGGGAGCTGGGCTGTGCGGCGGACGGGGAGGGGTGACGGGAGCGGCTTGAGGCGGCTCCTCCTCTGATATCGATGTCGGGGGTGGGGCCAAATTAACAGGTGGGTCGGCGGGAGGGGTTCTGGGGATGGTGGGGGCGGGGTCAGTGTTGGATCTCCTCCTGGAGGCGGAGCCACGGTGTCCAGTTGTCACCTCTACTGACAAAGGAATCACAATCACCATCATCCTCATCATCTGAAATTTTCCTGCTAATCAAGTTTGGAGGGAAGCACCTCCACCTCACTTGGAGCCCCTCTGGGTTTTAAAGCATTTCAAGCATCCGACACCGTGAAGTCATCTTACTTGACCGGTGCCGTACTACTTAGGTGTGTGGGTGTTTTGTTGTTTTAAATCAACGCCTTGGCGGTGCCGTATCTCCAAAAAAGTCGCTCCTCAAACTGTGGACGGTGATGAAGACGACGCGAATGAGACACAAATGCCCAACTTTCATTTTTAGTGCATATGTGTCGGACGAAGAGCTCAATCTTGTTTTAGGGACACATAGAAGAAAAACATGGCGTTAACCAGAGCTGACGACAGGAAACAAAACTTTGCTGCTAAACTGGACACAAGTCCACTTTTGGTAGATTTGATTTCATAAGGAAGATGCTTGTTGTTTTATTTTGTAGTTGATCATACCATATGATTTAGGGAAAAGAAAGTAAAAACATGAGAAGTTAAAGAACAATAAAATGCATGTAAATACTTGAGAGAAAACATCTTTGAGCCGTCCCCCCGCAATTTGAGCCAAGAAGAACCTTGACATGGCCCTCATTCTCACCTGCCATCTTCCGAAGAGGACGCATTTTATTCGTTATGTCCACGCCCTCTTCATCCTCCACTTGGGCTTGGCCTCGACTCCTCCCCCTGCATCCCCCCACACACACACACACACGCACACACACACGCACACATACAAAAAGCTGATCAAACCTGCGCATGCACCCTCACACAACGACCAGGTGGCCCGAAACCGACATGAAGACAATTCCCAGCCAGCCTGGCTCATCGCACTTACTTCTTCCTGGATTTGGGAGAAGGGGGAGGCAGAGGGGGAGTTGAAGGAAGAAGATGAAAGGGAGGCGCACCGCGGCTGCCTACGCCATCTTTGCGAGGTCGCCCGCGAGGCCGCTTCTCCGACGCGGCGGCTTTGCGTCCGGCCCGAGTGACAGGAGGTGGCGCTCTTCGGTCCTCTGAGGGCATTCTGCTTCAAAACATGAAAGATGGTTCTAACGCCTGCTCCCTCTTCCTGGACAGCTCGCTTGCGCACAAACAACAGATTTTCATCTTTGCTTTGAGTGCATGCGTGCGTGCGTGCGTGCGGGTGCGCCTGTGTGCATGCGTTGTGTTTGTAATGACGTGACAATTTCCGTCTTTGTGGCATTTGTGCGGGAAAACTCAAAACACCTCCAAAATCCTGCGAAGCTCATCAAAACACAAAACTTGTATATGCTAATGAGGTATTCCACCGCTCACCATTCCAAATAACACTAGTGCTAATTCGGTGGTTGTTCGGGCGCGCAAGAGATGCCGCTTGCAACATCATGCAGCAATTCAGAGAAGCCCTCGGAATTTTGGTCCTTGCGAGCTGACTGGGGATATTGGGAAGGATTTTAACGGTAACTTGTCAGCCAATCAGAGAAGGGATTACCCACGTGGCAGGGTCAGAGAGAGAGAGAAAGAGCTGTGCGGAGAAATGATCTGGTAAAACTGTGTGACTCCGTTTTCAAGGTGCTTTTGCAGCCAAATTTTCTATTGGCTTTAACGCACAAAAACGTTTCCCAAAAAGGTTGTTTTTCTGCCCGGCATAAAAAACTCAAAGCAAAAAGACATCCTCTGATTTTCAAAATGCTTTGTGTGTGAAGTGGCCATTCTAAGCACGCTGGGCACTTTGAGGGAATCTTCGGGAGTTGGGAGATTCACCCATTCCCGACTTTCTAATCACAAATAAGGGATTCTTAATAGTCTTTCCAGCAACGCTATCTGTGTTTAAAGAACAATCCCAGGGTAACGAGTGATTAGCAGCGAGCGCGTTTGCAAGCATTTACTCATTCCCGACTCTCAAATCACTACACATGGGGATTTTATGACTATTTTCAGGCACTATTGAGGTCCACAAGTTGAAGTGGCCAGTCCAGCTAGACCACAGGTGTCAAAAGCTCCAGTCCTCGAGGGCCGTTATGCTGCATGTTTTCCTTGATCTCCCTGCTGCAACACGCCTGTTTGAAATGATCAGGATGTTTCTCGGGCTTCTGCAGATCATTTGAATTAGGCGGGTTGCAACGGGGAGATGGAAAACATGCAGGAAAGCGACCCTGAGGACCGGAGTTGGACACTTATGTGCTAGACATTTTGGATGTTGCTCGCGTGTGCATGCATCGAGTGAGCGTGCGCATCCCTTGCTAAAGGACAGGATGTCACTGTGATCCTGCCAATGAAGTTCTGCTGCTTGCTAGTCGGTGGACACTTCTTGGCCGCTTTTTAAACGTTACCATTTTTTGAACTTTTTTTTCCACGCCAAACTCATTTATAGTTCGAAACGTTCCACTCTGGCCATTGAAAAGCGCCTTTCTTTTGACTTATGCCAATTACACTTGGACAATGTGAGACTTTGGCCAAGGAAAGAAAAGAGAAGAAAAGAGAAGATGATCACGGACAAGATGTGCTCGAAAGGGCCCCAAGTTGAATTTGGTCCGGTGACGGGTGTCAGCGTTGGAGTTAACGTGCGACAGAAAGCCAGCGAAAGGTGTAAACATTGGCGTTAGCAATAGCATGTAGCTCGTCGCACCGCCCAGTTGACTGATCACTTGCGTTAGCAGCAGCTAACGCTCGCGGGGCTAGCCCTCGCCTCGACGCTCAAGGCGCCGCTCGCGTTCGCGGTCTCGTCCAAGCAAGGCCAAAGTCACGCGCACAAGCGGCCCCGAGCCGACAAAAGCGAGAAAAGCCAGCGAAGCGTCTTACGGATTGGACGCGGTTCTCCTTCTTTTGCTCTCCAGCTTGCTGCCAAGCTCAAGCGACGTGTTGACACACAACTTGTGCGAGCACCAGCGCGCATTTGCCGCTGCGGTCACAGCGAGTCGCCCGCCGTATCCCCGCTCATGGCGTCCGGGCCCGTCGCGTTTGGCTTTCGGCGAATCGCGCGAGGTGAAGGAAAACCCTAAAGTTGCAGTCGACGCTCCATCATGGAGGCCATGTTTGTACGACCGAAGCACCGCCCGCCTGTCAGCGGCACCCAGAAAAGTAGGGCCGCCCCGGACAAGTCCGGCCCGCCGCGGAAGCCATCGAGCCCGCCTCGCGGCATGCCTCCCTTCCTCGCCCTCGCCCTCCGACTGAGTAACTGACTGACTTCTCGAGTGCGTAAATACACGCGGATACACGATGGGCAGTCGTCTCTGTGATATTTCTTGTCTGGTGTGTCAAAGTGCATCTGACCCCGCGCAGGAATCTGCTCGCGGTGATTCGGCGCGTGTCATTAGACCTCAAGCTCCGTACTGGATTTCGACTCGCGAGGATTCGGACTAAACGCGCAAAGACACAGACTTCATTGACAAATATCCGGACTGGACTTCAGCCGATTTCTGGGAATCATTCAAAGCCCGAGCATCTGACCGAGATGTCCTGTACTTGAATCCAAACTTGAGTCGTCTCCCAAAGGAACAAAACGAGATTGAGCGAGGATCCGGATTGGATTTCTGCGTATCGATTGACTCGGGACTGGACTTTGAAGACATTCGGACCGAACTCTCGAGGTGTCAGAGAACCCAGACGAGAGTGTCGACTGTTGATTACCAAGGACCCGGACTGGAACCCCAAATGGGACCGACCGTTTGCTGGTCGATGCCGTTGACGTGAAGGTGATGACACGTCCGACCACAGTAACATTTCTCGCAGGAATGCGTGCAATTCCAGCAACACAAATCAGTGCTTTTGTCCCGTCCTCTAAGTTTGTACCCCGTATGAAAGAGCTCGAAATCATTTCAAAGTGACCAACTTCTGTTCAAGATCTGGAAATCCTGACCTCACCGGTGACTCATCTCAAGAGGCCCCTTTCCGGAGAGAGGGGGCTGGCAGTGCCCCTGCCTTGTCGATGGTCGACATCCAAGTTGCGGCAGCTAAGCGCTCAGCGACCCGGCTGATCCTTCACCGTCATTGTGCTCTTATTAGGTTTTTTTCTTTCGGATTTATCATCATCATCTCTATTTTGTCGGTGACACATTTGAGGGTGGACTTGGCCCATTTTTTTTCCTTTTTTTGTCAGGGTGACTGACGGACAGTTAGCAGCTCCTGCTTCAGGAAGGCAAATGAGCACGCTTAGAGCGCTCGGCCCGGCCGTCCGCACAAGAGTTGACTCCAGCAACCGCTGACATACTTTTATTGACAAAACGAGACAGATTCAAATCAAGTTAACCATCCCAAAGCGATCGATGGCATCCGCAGATCCTCACTGGCCGGATGCAGGCTCGGCTCTCGCACCGTCCGATGATCTCAACCTGAGGCGGCGCACGCACACGCACACGCACACGCACACGCACACGCACACCAAAACCGTTAGAGCCACCGCCAGGGCCCACTTTTGCAGGGTTCAAAAGGTCGCGGTCACCTGAGCTGGTGATGCTCACAAAAGTCAGCCAGTCGGCGTCTCTCCGACTGGAAGAAACCCTGAAAGAGAAGAAAGTTCTTTTGGGGTGGATATGGCCCAAATCGCAATTGGATCCGGTTCCGTTCCTCTGAGTTAGATCAGGATCCGTTTTGAATCAGGCTTAAAATCCGATCGAGATGTGTTCTCAATCGGTTGCTCTTCAGATCGGGATCAGCTCTCGTTGGGCTTTGGATAGATTCTGAACGCGAGCTGAAAAAGTTCTGAACGAGATCAATACTGTATGTGCTCTGGATCGGATTGCCAATCGGGTCCGGGTACACTCGGCATGCAGTCGGATTCGGGTGCGGATCTTTGCTCAATCAGATTGGGATCCATTCTGGACCTGGTCAGAATGGATCTCATCTGAGGTTGAGACTCAGCACATCACGCAAACATCCTTTTGATTGGGGACCATAATGACACTGACAATTCGGTGTCGGGATTTGGATCAATTCAAACCTTTTTTTTTTTTCATTCCACGGTTATGACATTACCTGAATCTGTGAGTACATGTTGACATATGTCGAGGTTTCCTCCAAACACTTCAGATGAGCCGATAGAGACTTCTCAAAGTTGTGGAGCAGAACTACCCTACACACACACACACACACACACACACACACATGCACACACACACACACACACACACACACACACACACACCCACCCCAGGTGTACTGTGGTCTGTACCAGTGTCGATGGGGAGATGTTATGGGAGGGAGGGAGGAGAAGGGGGGAGGGTGAGGCGCTTGGCGTGGCGTTGGTACCGGTGTTGGCCGATGTCATCGAAGAGCGAGATGATGTGCTGCTGATATTCTTTGGGCGACGAGTGAATTTGTGCTTGGACTTTCAGCCAGCAGTCCTGTTTTGTCAAGAGCCGATCAGAAATCGGACAGATGAATCGAATCGATGAAGTCGTCAAAAAAGGCTGACCTTGTAATGCTGTTCGAGGTTTCTTTTGAAGACGTCAAAAGCGTTTTGGATGCTAGCGGTCGCGTCAATCCGTTGCTCCGCCCCCAGCGGGTTGACAGCTTCCTCCCCTTTCAAGGATGGCTTTTCAATGTCATGTGGCTCCACCGCCTCCTCAGATGGCTCCTTGGGTAATGCCCCTTTAACAGCCCGGCCCCCCCCAATGCTGTTCGAGGTTTCTTTTGAAGACGTCAAAAGCGTTTTGGATGCTAGCGGTCGCGTCAATCCGTTGCTCCGCCCCCAGCGGGTTGACAGCTTCCTCCCCTTTCAAGGATGGCTTTTCAATGTCATGTGGCTCCACCGCCTCCTCAGATGGCTCCTTGGGTAATGCCCCTTTAACAGCCCGGCCCCCCCCATGACAATCAGATTGAGAGTGAGCATTTTTGAGCTAGCGGCAGGTCCCTCAAGCCCGGACAGGATTACATCAAATGTTGAACGCCACTCGTGTCAATGGGAATAAGAGGAAATAACATCTTCCGTGTGACTTAGGATGCCAAAGTGGTTGTGCTCCGCATGGCCCTCAATTCGGTCACACGCGCTCTTTGCGTTCAGGCAGCTGTGGCGTCTCAACATAGCCAATCCCACAAAAATCAAGTCAAAGTGGGCTCAGGTCTGCTGAATGACAAAAACTATTTCGCACCCTGTTGGTGCTACTCACATTTCCATTTGGTGGTGGTGGGGGGACTCTTTCTGTCTTATTATTTCCCATGACTTGTCATTCCAAACTTTGGCAAAAAAAAAAGGACCTAAATGCAGGGACAATTTGATAGGCGATAGTCTGATGAGGTGGGCTGCACAGTCTCTGGTTGGCTAATGGAAAGCCCAACTATGATGTGTCCCTGGACGACAAAGAGTTTGACAGACTTGTGAAATACAAGCGGGAGCACTGAGGGCACGACTGCACGCGATGCTCTATGGTGGCATTGGCCCCCCCCCCCCCCGCCCC